TGGTTGTTTTAGAACAAAAACAAAGCTTATCTATATGAACCAAAAACAAAATCTATAAAACCTAGAAATGGTTTATATTAATCTTGAAATGTAGTTATAGGCTTAGCAAATGCAAATCAATTCAATGTAGAGTTCTAAGGAAGAGAATTGCCTCTGCCAGATCCTCTTTCATAGAGGCTCTTACGTCAGACTTTATTATTTTTAGGGCTGAAAATAATCTTTTGACACTGACTTGGGTGGGTGGCATTGCAGTAACTATTCTGGCCACATCACTAACGATCTCTGGATAAACAAGGATGGCTTCTTCAACAGTAAGTTTTGATGAGCGATCATACTTTTCAACTTCTTTTAGTGCTTTATAAAACTCCTGTTGGAATTTTTTTATTTGGACATTTACTGGTTCTGTAACGCTTATGCGACGTCGCTTTCGTTTAGCAACTTCCATTTTGTCTAAGAAGGAATCAAAGTCTAATTCTTCGTTTGAAGAAGATGATCCTGAGTTACCACTATTGCTTAAAAGAACTTCATCCTCCTGTGGAGGTATTTCAAGTCGTAATCCATTCATGCGAACTGCTACATCATAGAGGGCCTTTTTCCCAGTAGCAGTCTGTTCACTGTTCAACAAAAGTCGGCTCATTGGGTCGACATAAATAGCTGCTAACAAGATTTCATTTTCCAGCAAAAGACTCTCTCTTTTCATCATTGAAAATGCAATGCCCTCAGCTATTGACCCTCCATTTTTGTTCAGGCGATATAACAGGCTCTTCCATTCCAAGAGGAATTTACCCGGGGTTAGATCGTCACATTGCAACCTCTTGGTGACAGTGAAGGGGTGAGAAAGAAGGTTCTCCAGCTCTTTTGTTTGTGTCCACTGGCTTGCAGTTAATGCAAGATTTTCATTGTCCATTTCTTCTATGAAGTCTTTAAGTTCAAGCAAACGCTTCACCATTAAATAAGTGCTTCCCCAGCGAGTTGTTTGATCCAAAATGACTCCTTTTCCTGCACGTCTTTTCAAAATTGCATCTGTTTTCGGGGCCCTGGCTGCAACAGTTACTTGCCGTAATTTGCCAATTAGTGTAGCTGCATGGCGATCTTTTAATCCATCTCTTATGGCAAGTTGCAGTGTATGAACAGCACATCACATATGATGAATAGTAGCAAGCTTCAATGCTTCTTCAACAAAGTTGTCTAAAAAAATGTCAGCATTCTCTTCAGTTTCTAAACTTTCTCCAATACTTGCAGAGCTGTCTTCCTCTAACTCTAATATCTGTTTGTTACCTTCTTCATCTGTGTTCATCTTCTCAATTGTGCTCAACATGTTAGAAGCGTTATCTGTCACAACACATAAAATCTGTTCCTTTTTAATTTCAAAATCTTCTAGAACACCCTCCACTAACTTCTGAAGGTAATTACTGGTGTGATGTGCCTGAGTGTCCTTTAATCCGAGGGTCCGTGTTGTTTTGTTATTTTCATCCACAAATCTAACATTAATAGTGAAATAATTGACTCTGTGACGTGTGCATGCATCCATTTTAAGGAAGACAAAACGTCCTTTCAGAACTTTCTATAGTTCTTCCTTTTTACATTTGGCCTCCTCAATTATAAGTTTCCTTATACTTTCTCTATCCAGAGAAACACCAAGTTTTTTTGCCATTTCTCCATTTAGGCCTAAAAAGACTGTCTGTGAAAAGAAGGATAGTGGTACACTATTCTTTACTACCATTTCAATAATGTGGTGTTTGAATTTTTCTGGTGTCATCCTTATGGTAACTTTGTCAGATATAAAGAATTTTCTTATTTGTGATTGTTCTCCAGTAGATTTCTGAACGTTTTTTGTCACAGAAGTAGATGCAATGTTTTCATTGCTATCTTTCTCATTCACGGCTTCTAACACTTTGGGATGAAAACGCTGTAAATGTCTTTTCAAATTTGATGCTCTTGTAGGTGCATTTTTATCAGGCCCACTGAAACTGCTAATTTTTGCATCACATTGTTTTTCACCATCATCATCTTTTCTAATACATTGGCACACATAATGTTTTCCATCACTTGATAATGCAAAGTGCTCATAAATAGTAGACTTTGTCGTGTTTGTTGTTAGCAGTCTTTTTGCCATTGTTTAGGATGCCTCTTTCCCTAAAATATAAAATATGTTATACTAACTGGCATATAATTAGATTTTTAATATCAACATACACAGTCTTGTAAGTTGTACGTACATGGCTTTATACAAACAAATAAGCTATATATCCCAGCACTAAACCTAGACATGATTTGTCCTATACAGAAAAACATGCACAGACATGTACTGAACACACACACAACACAGAGCCTACATTTTAGTACTCAGAGCATATAAACAATCTGCACTATACATAAATATTCATACATTCCTGCACCACACTTACAAACCTAGGATAGACAGTTTCTTCCAGAAACATGTATACATGTCTCCCCTCATACAGACAAGCAGGCATGCAGGTTTTAAAATAAATATAAACACTTACAGTTGAATCCAAGAAGCTGTTCCACCAAGTTCTTCTAAGCTCTTCTAGCAGAGAGAGGTAGTTGGGCAGAAGCTGCTGCCTTCTCCTTTTTGTGTGCTGATCTGCTGCTGAAGATAGGGCAGTGGGAGGATCCAGGAAGGGGCATTTATTTATTTATTTATTTAATTTTTATGCCGCCCTTCTCCTGGGGGACTCAGGTCGGTGAACAGTTAACATAACATACATATAATTCAAGGTGTTAGTTATCACCTTTAAAGCGCTCCATGGCTTAGGACCTGGGTACCTACGAGATCGTCTTTTGCCACCAATAGCCTCCCACCGACCAGTTCGTTCTCACAGGGAGGGACTACTCAGGGTACCGTCAGTCAAATTATGTCGACTGGCGACTCCCAGGGGGAGGGCCTTCTCTGTGGGGGCTCCAACCCTTTGGAATGAACTGCCCCCAGAGATACGGAATATCCCTGATCTCCGTGCTTTCCGCCGTGCCCTCAAGACCCTGATGTTCCAACAGGCAGGGCTAAACATACAAACATGCGAATGATTTTTTAAATGTTATCTAATTCTGGGTTTTATTTAATTGACCAAACTAAGTAACAATTTTAATTAGCAATTTTATGATGTTTGTGTGTCTATATTTTTCTTGACTGTACACCGCCTTGAGTCCTACGGGAGAAAGGTGGTATAGAAATATAATAAATAAATAAATAAATATAAAATGTGAATATAAGATGATTAAGCCAATTTGGCTCATCGGTTAAGAATTTTCAGCATAAAGATTTAGAACAATGAAGAGATTTATGCCAGCCCAGCTTGGTGAAAGAGAAAGGTCTTAAGTGCGTGACGGAAAGTACAAAGATCTGGGATCATTCGTATCCCTGGGGGTAACCTGTTCCAAAGGGTAGGTGCCCCCACAGAAAAGGCTCTTACTCTGGGAACCACCAGTCGACATTGTTTTAATGACGGCACCCTGAGGAGGCTATTTATTATAAAACATGATTTCCCTAGTAGAATCCCATAGTCATGTTTAAAGTTTAAGCTAACAATCGGAGTTCACAAGTTTTTATAGCCTTAGCTGAATGACAGCAGTTTTTCCAATGGTTTACAGCTTCAGTCTTGAACTATTGACCCTCCATTCCCTTCACTTATACAAGTGTCTCTAGTCCTGCAAAAAACATATTTACTTAATCCCTTATCAGTGAGAGGCTAGGTTACCCATGGGCGCTGGGTTCCCTGTAACAGCAGAACACAACACTATGGAAAGTATAAGTATTGCCGCTCCTAATTGTGCGCTGCGTGCCATATAGTGAAGCACATGAAAAGCATGCTTCTTCACGGTCACTTAACGTGTTCATTTTGCGGTTACGTGAGGCACTGCATGCATTGGTCTTTATTCTTACAGTAGAGAAGTCATTAATTATAAGTTTTTGTGAATTGGGACATTTAAACTTGCTTTTTTTTTAATTCCAATCTAAATTTAGTAGGAGTCGGAGTCATTGGCATTGGCATTGCTTGCCAACTCCGACTCCGACTCCAGGTACCCAAAATTTCCTCCGACTCCTCGACTCCGACTTCACAGCACTGATAGAAGCAATAGCCAGCCGCACAAGAACAGTTTTCATCCGTGGGCTGTCAGACTCCTGAATGAGAAATAACATAACTATGTAGTAGGATGGACTTGCAGGGCTGGCGCAACATGTTCACACTGGTGCAATAGGACTGGGTGTTTGTTAATATGGTTTATTGGGTTAGGGATTGTCTGTCTTCACTGTGAGCTGTATTGTGTTGGAAGGGGTGCACTGAGGGAGCTCCACCAATCTCATTGTACGTATGTTGTGCAGTGACAATAAAGGTTATTATTAAGACATAAAATCAAACTTTATTTTTTTTTAAAAAAAATCGAAGATCTATGAAATCCAATTTATAAATCTATTTGTGACAGACCACCAAGTTATGATTAGACTGAGGGCACAGCCAAAGCTCACAAGAATTCTCAAAGACTGAACAACAAAGAACAAAGACTTTCTTATCTAAGTGAAGCAATTTGAAGAGCTTTCCATACACCCAGATCAGAGTTATGACAATAGTTATGTGGGAGGATCAAGAGGGAAAACGAAGTCTAATTCTCCCACTCCAACCTCCTCCCCACCAAAAGGAGAGGCAGGATGCTCATTTTTTTCAGGCAGACATTCCATTTGAACTCTGAAAATCCGGAGGAAGGCAGCAAAGAGGGGGCGAAATAAAACTTTTTGCTATCGTTGCCCTTGCAACTTGTTTAATCGCCCTACCATAGGTAAGTCTGTTGCACTTTTCTTTTTTCTAACGGTGGTGCTCCCCTCTGCCAAAATACACACTCCAGCATCTGGACTGGACTACCTGCCACCTGGAGGAAAGTTTTGGGCCAACGGCCCCTTTCCCCCCCGTCGGACCGAGCGCGAGAGCCTTCCTCCAGCCGGAGAGGGGGGTGCGAGCGAGCGGTCGCCCCATGACGTCACTAGCGCGCGCCCAACGGACGACAGGGCTTCGCGAGAGGAGGGTTCCCTGGTTACGAAGCAGGGATGAATGATTCGGAGCGCGGCCCAGCCCCAGGTGAGGAGGATGGTGGGGAGCCCGAGGAAGAAGGGGAAGAGGAGGAAGAAGAGGTCGCTGCTGGGGATGTGGATGCCGAGACTGCGCCGGGTGGGCGGAAGGTTCGTGGTGGGCGGAAAGCCCGGGGTAGGCCGCGCCTCACCGAGTCTGACCGGGTACGACGACGCCTCGAATCCCGCAAGAAATACGACGAGCGGCGAGTCTACCTGGGCGAGTCTCACGGCTCGTGGGTGGACCTGAGGCAGCGCAGTGGCTGGAGTGACGCCAAGCTGGCGGCTTATTTACTGGAACTGGAACGAGAACAGCGGGCCGGGCGTCGCGGGTGAGAGTCGGCAGAAAGGGCTGAGGGAGGAGATGGCTAGACGGTTAATGCGAAGGCGGGGGGGGGGGGAGCACTCAGCCGCAAGAGCCCCGGAGGCCTCGTGGTCATACAAGGTGCGGGGCCAAGTGCAAAGCAGGCAAGGGCCAAAGACATGAAAAAAACAGGCGCGAGGCCTTTTCCTGCACGTGGGGGGCTGATGGCGGCGTCTTGCCAGCGAAACTGCCTGACGTTTCGGAGGTCAGCGTAGGCACGATTTCCAGTTAGTTCTGCTCTCCCTGGGTACCATCGAAATCGGCTGCTCTGGGAAGAGGTCACTCTCTGGATTTCAAGGCATTTGACAAAAGGAGGATGAGATGGTTAATTCTGCAAACAGACATCTTATGTCATCTTGTCATTTAGAAAGGGGTAGTTGGAAACAGGTGGATACCTGGCAAACTAGAACCATTCTGTGTGTGTCGTCCCCCCCCCCCCCAATTATCATCAGGCACTTATCTACCTCTACCTCTGACAGGGTAGATTCAGGGGGGAGGATGGAGGCAGGTCTTGAGAATATTATCTGGGAAGAGTTTGATTCTGTGACTCCCGAAGATGTGGACAGGATACTGAGTAGACTGAATGCTGCCACATGTTTATTGGACCTGTGTCCCTCCTGGTTGGTGCTGGCCTCTCTGGAGGTTACAGGAGGCTGGCTCCAGGGGATTATAAATGCTTCTTTGAGTGAGGGTGTCTTTCCCGCCGCCTTGAAAGAGGCGGTGGTGAGACCTCTCCTCAAGAAGCCTTCCCTGGACCCGGCAGTATTGGCTAATTACCGTCCAGTCTCCAACCTTCACTTTGTTGTGAAGGTTGTTGAGAGAGTGGTAGCACGACAGCTCCCTCAGTACCTGGATGAATTGGCTTATCTGGATCCATTCCAGTCGGGCTTCAGGCCTGGGTACAGCATGGAAAAGACATTGGTCGCATTGGTTGGTGATCTCTGAAGGGCTTGGGAGAGGAGTTGCCCCTCTGTCCTGGTCCAATTAGATCTCTCAGCGGCTTTTGATACCATCGACCATGGTATCATGCTGCACCGGCTGGAAGAGTTAGGGGTGGGAGGCACCGTGCTGCGGTGGTTCTCCTTCCTCTCCAACCGGTCGCAGTCAGTGTTGGCAGGGGGGCAGGGGTCGACCCCGAGGCCCCTTTTATGTGGGGTGCCACAGGGGTCGGTCCTCTCGCCCCTTCTGTTCAACATTTATGTGAAGCTGCTGGGTGAGATCATCCGTGGTTTCAGGTGAAGTACCACCAGTACGCTGGTGACACCCAGCTGTACATCTCCACCCCAGACCACCCCAATGATGCCCTTGAAGTGATGTCCCGGTGCCTGGAGGCTGTACGGATCTGGATGGGGAGAAACAGACTCAGGCTCAACCCATCCAAGACCGAGTGGCTGTGGTTTCTGATATCCCGATATAGTCAGTTGGTGCCATCACTGACTATTGGGGGCAAGTCGTTGGCCCCCACAGAGAGGGCTCGCAACTTGGGGGTCCTCCTGGACTCACAGCTGTCTTTAGAAAAGCACTTGACGGCTGTGGCCAGGAGGGCCTGATTTGCCCTTTCTGGATCGGGACTCGTTAAATACGGTCACTCATGCCCTCGTCACTTCCCGCCTGGACTACTGCAATGCTCTCTACATGGGGCTCCCCTTGAGGAGCACCTGGAGGCTCCAGCTAGTCCAGAATGTGGCCGCGCGGGTGGTTATGGGAGCGATGTGGCGCTCCTATGTGACTCCTGTCCTGCGCGAGTTGCACTGGCTCTCAGTGGTCTTTCGGGTGCGCTTCAAGGTTTTGGTTACCACCTTTAGAGCGCTCCATGGCTTAGGACCGGGGTATCTATGAGACCGCCTTCTGCCACCAATAGCCTGTCACTGACCAGTACGCTCCCATAGAGAGAGCTTCCTCAGGGTGCCATCGGCCAAACAGTGTCGACTGGCGGCCCACAGTGGGAAAGCCTTCTCTGTGGGGGCACCCGCCATCTAGAACGAGCTCTCCCCGGAGATACGGAGGATCCCGGATCTGCGCGCTTTCTGCCGTGCCATTAAAACATTTTTATTCCAGCAGGCCAGCCTGGCCTAACCTCTCTTTTAAATTGTTTTTAAAAATTTTTAAATTTTAAATTTGTCTTATGAATTTGGGGTGTTTTAAATTTTGTTTTCCAGGCCAATTATTTAATTGTATTTTAATGGTTTTTTAACATTTGTATTATATGTATTTTATTTGGCTGTTCACTGCCCTGAGTCCTTCGGAAGTAGGGCGGTATACAAATTCAATAAATAATAATAAAATAATAACAATAACAACAACAACAATAATAATAATAATAATGTGGCTGTTTTGGAATGTAATAATATAACTTGACTGTCACATTTGAGTATTGCATCCTCCATAACTATCCATCCTTACTATCTTTGTGCAACCAATAATTATTTCTCAAATCTTTTAAAACATTTCCTAAAAATGATCAATCATATCCTTAGTTTAGTTTGCATTGCATGCATGTATTCTCTGGAAATGTAATATATAGGTCTAAAAACTCTATGTAATTTAGAGACCAATCCATATTACTATGCAAGGTGACCTGTAAATTATACCAGATCAAGTAATAGTGGATAACTGTTCTTGATAGACTCCTTGATTGCTCATTGGCAGTATTTGCTCTAACAGAGAAACTGAGAGCATGTTTGAATTCTGTTTTTAGTTGTTTGTTGCTCTGATAGAGGCTGTTAGAAAAGATAGTGCTGATTATTAGGGTATAAACTAGGTATCTTCAGAAGCATAATTTCCTTATTTCTTACCATTACTTTCCTCTCTGTGAATGACAGTCTTATTGAAATATTATCTTTAAAGAAGTTTTTCAAAGGCTTTTAGTACCTCCTTTGGCTGAGGCTTTCCTTTGGCAAATAAGTCCTGGTATTCACTTCTGGAAATCTGCGTGCATACTATGATATGCTACCATCTTTACTTGCAGAAAACCATGGGAGCAGATCCCTTATGAGTCACAGCGAAAGAAAAGTAAGTGTGATCTATGCATTGATATGTCAATTTTATTCATGCTCTAAAAATACAACCAATTGCTGTCAGTTTTTAAATTAAAAAAAACATGAAAAAGCTGAATGCCACAAAGTATAAAGAAATCAAGAAGAAAGTCTGGAATGAATTTACAGTGATACAGAAATTGGCAGCAGTTCTTTATAAAGTAAATCTCAGTAAATTTGACTGAACATATATAATTGTTAGCATAAATTCCTGGTATAAGAATCTTCATTTACCTATGTAATGATTTCAGAAATATTTATTCAAATTTATTGTAGCTGCCTAATTACGATGACCTCTAAATAATTTTCACTTGTCTCCTAATAGTTTAAAATTCTCCCATCTATAGCCCAATCTGGTTTATTAGTTTTGTTGAATCTAATGTTCTCAGTGTTTAGTTTGCTTTATATTTGCATCTGAAAATCAGTTTAATTTTTTTCTTGGCTATAATCGCCTTTACACCTATCAAAAAGAATCAAGACATCAAAAGGCACATTATAACTTGTAACTTTGTTTATTGATTCTACTACATTTGACCACTCTAAACTTAACATTGAAACTGCTCAGCATTCATTACAGATTTAATTTCCTATAACTGGCTCAAATATTTTTAAAATTAAAAAAGCCAAAATGTATATGCTGAAAAATTCTTCATATTTTCATAATATATCATTATTGACTTCCTGGAATGGCATTGCTTTGTTTTTTAAAGTAATAATAGAAATTAAAATATAAATATAATAGCAATAGCACTTAGACTTATATACCGCTTCCCAGTGCTTTTACATCTCTCTCTAAGCGGTTTACAGAGTCAGCATATTGCCCCCAACAGTTTGGGTCTTCATTTTACCCACCTCAAAAAGGATGGAAGGTTGAGTCAACCTTGAGCCGGGTGAGATTTGAAATGCCAAATTGCAGGCAGCAGTAGCTGCAGTAGTGCACTGCGCCACTGTGGCTCTTAATGTTTTGTAGTGCATCACATTTTCTGTTTAAAATCATTTATAGCTCTTGTATTGACAATAATTTAAATGTTAGGAACTTATTTAAGCTAGCTATTTGGTTTTTTAAAATTTGTTCTCTTAGTATTGACATGAGCATTAAAGCACTGGTTCTCAACTTTTGGGGCTTGGCGGCCTGGCTTGTGGGGGAGGGGAATTGGGCCATGTGAGTGGGGGTTGGCACGCATGTGCGCACTTACAGTTCAACTCGGGTGAGCGATGGGGCACTCACACATGCACACACAGCTCGACTCATGCACACCGACCCACTGCTCGTGTGAGTTGAGTTGCATGCACATGCGTCAGCCCCAGTGCTTGTGCGGCCTGGTTCCAAATAGGCCATGGCCCATTAATGGACCACGGCTCAGGTGTTGGAGACCCCTGTGTTAAAGATATTTCATTTTGTTATTTTTCAACATGTAATGACAATAATCCTTCAGTAATCAGAAAAGTCACATGTCATGTTCATGTAGAAATTTCAGTTTTTTAAAATACTGTATTAGAGTTGGCATTATGAGTAATGACTATTAAAAATGAAACAGGCTTAGCAACCTTTTAATGATATTTTTAAAAATGTATTTTTCTTCGTCTGAAGTAATTCCTAAAATAGAGCTGAAATTATTGAATTATTAAATGCTTTTTGTTTACTTCAAATTATAAATTCTCAGCTATACCAGGAATATACTATATATATCCGTGATGGCGAACCTATGGCACGTGTGCTGGAAGTGGCACGCAGAGCCATCTCTCCGGGCACACGAACTGTTGTCTGTTGCTCTTCCAGCCAGCTGGTCTTCACACGCGCGGGAGCGCCAGAAATCAGAAGAGCAGCCGCTTGGTGCACATGTGTGCGCTGGGCGGCTGCTGGTTTCTGGCGCGCATGTGCACTCGAAGACCAGCTGGCCGGTGTGCATGCGTGTGCCAGAAACCAGAAGATCATCTTCCTGGCGTGCTTATGCATACCGGTCGGCTACTCTTCTGGTTTCTGGAATGCACATGGGAGTGCACTCCCGTTTTGGCACTTGGTGCCAAAAAGGTTCGCCAACACTGATATATATGATTGTAGTCTTATAAAATCCTCAAATAAATCCCATTGAACTAAATTGTTGTCATAAGCACTACAACCAGCATTTTTATTCATTCATTTACAAAGGTTTTGGTTTCTGTTGTAAGACATATCCAAAGCTTGTGAGTTAACTAGATGTGGAAGAGATAGATACTGATCTCCGTATAATTTTCAGGGCTGAACATAGCCAAATAGGTCAATTTATTGCCTAAGCTAAAGCAATTGTTTGTAAGACTTAACTGATGTCCAAATTAGACAGAATGGATAAAGGACTGAGTTTTCTGAAAGGAGAAGAAATACATCGTCAAGCAACCTAAATATCAACACTATTCTTACAAAAGCTACAGCCTGTACAATATTTCTCTCTCATAAAGCATAATGTACAAACTGTCTCAGGAAGTAGTTAAGTACTGTAAATATTCAGCATAGTGACTAGAAATATGTAGTTAATATCATGTGATGCTAAGGCATTCTATGACTTTGTACTACTCCAAAGTGCTGATGTTGCAAAGGAAAGTGTGGAATATAACTTCATTTATGTATTCCTTCTGATGAAATGCAAAATGCTACTCTTTATTGTCGTTAATCATAAAGAACATTATGAACAATGATAATACACTGAGGTATACCATATTTATTTTAACAGTTTTGCTGCCTAAAATGGACCTATTTTCTTTTTTTCTATTTGGCTGAAATTCATTTGGTTAGTTGTTTTCCTAAATGTAGAAATAACATAAAATTACATCATATATAAAAACAGATGGATTTCATTGTTAGCTTTCAGAGAGAGCATACCATCTGTTCCAAGTTTCTCAAACACTTTTTTTTTGTTGCTTTATCTTATTTTTTTGCTTCCCATCCTTACCATGTCCCAAGGAAGAAGGCGAAATGTGAACTGCCTGAAGAACACAGTCATCTGGTATGAAGATCACAAGAATCGCTGCCCTTATGAGCCTCATCTCTCCGAGCTGGATCCCAACTTTGGGATGTACACCACAGCTGTTTGGCAATGTGAAGCAGGGCACCGCTATTTCCAGGACTTACACTCACCACTTAAACCACTCAGTGATTCTGAAAATGAATGTGACAGTGGTAAGTAAGTGTACAGAGTGTCTTGGATGTTAAAACTCCAACCTGCCTTTTTTTTTTTTTTTTTTTTGCAGTTAACATGTAGCAAATATTTCTATGTAGCTCTTGCAAATCATATAGCTAGCTGCTTTCTGAGTTATTCTTTAGTGCCGCTGAGCTTGGAAATCAGTGACACAAGATGAGATAACTTTGGAAATGCATAGTTTAAGTTAGGGCAATGAAGTTGGAGATGGCCCAACACAACATTAATTAAAAGAAATTCATTTCTGAAATAAATAACATCATGGATAGTCGAGAATTCCTAAAGATTATTAGCATATGTATAGTTTTCAGTTATTTTCCTTTCAGGTTGAATATTGTAAGGTAAGATATTGTGTTTAAATGTTTATATTAAAATGTCTGTGTAATATTACACCATTTTAGCCAGTGTTTTTTCATAATTTTCTCTAGGCCTGTCATTTCTGGTAGTTTGTGACAATATGTTCTTTTAAAAAAAATTTAAATTATTTTTAAAATGCCACATTAGAACATTTCCTAGTGCCAACCAGAAAAAAGTTTATGTTCCAGATTTGATATTTACAATCACTGATTGTAGCACACTGTTTTTCCAACGTATTCTTGGCTAAGATTTGCCTGTCTGATTTCAAGTACTACAGAATTAGACTCCAGAATACCATTCAGAAAATACTGTTTTTCATATTCATTTATATAGAGGTTGAGGAAGTACAATAGAGAACAATAAATAACTAATCTCTTCTCATTAAAATCAGTTTTGGATATGCTTATTCTCTGCACAGAGAGTAATGGTGAAAGACACAGAAGGCAAGAATATGCACTTTCGGTCTTATTAAGTGATCTAAAATTCTTAATGAGTGTGAAGAGAAGGCCTTTTTAAATTGAGGCAAATAGGGCATTTGTTCAGCAGGTGTTTAGATATCCTAATTTATCTATTCCGAATAGTGTAGAATCCTGGATACAGCTATGGATAGTAAGCAAGTGAAGTATCCGGCTGTAAGGTTTGTCTGTCTGGGTTCCCAAGAAATTATCTGATAATTTTCTTATCCTTGTTGAAATTTGTAGTTGCCAATGGTACTGGAGCTGGAAGCTCTGAGTCTTCAGAAGAAAGCTCTAGCTCTGAGACAGAGGAACAGCTGGAGAATCAGAAAGACAAACCCCAGGTTCAACAATCCTCAGCAAATGCAGAAGGAGAAAATTCCAGTGGCCTCATCACACAGGATGGCATCCATATTCCATTTGAGAACTTACAAGCAGAACAGGGTACTAGCATGTGCCACAATCCATCCCTCAATGGACCAGAGACGACGGCAACTGTGGTATGCATGCCAGTGCCCATGCAGATGGGTTCAGGTCATGAAACCCTGTTTGAGAACGTTTCCCAAGAGACACTTGGAGAAGTAGTAGCCAGCTGCCCTGTGCAAGGTATGATGCAAGGTTCACAGGTGATCATCATTGCTGGACCTGGCTATGATTCTCTCACAGCAGAAGGAATCCAACTGAATGTCACCAACACAGGAGAAGAGGAGCTGCCTTGTGCTATGATAGAGGGTATAGCACCTTATACTCAGGCAGAGCCTGAGAATGGACAACATAGCAAGGAAAACATGGAATGCATCAAAACAAAACAAGGTAGTTTCTACCATCCATCTTGGCTGCCTGCTCTCAAATGACCAGGTGCCTAGCTTTAAAATGTGTAGGTTTAATGCACTGTTGTGAGTATAAGTGTGGCATTTTTGCTATAGAGGGGTCCTCAACCTGTGGGCTGTGGCCCACTAGCTTGCTGTGGGCTAATTGCCACTGGGGTTTGTGCAAGTGCACAAAGCCCCACTTGTGCAAGCCTCATCACAGGCTCTCGCAGCCACACTTGCGAAAACATGGGTGCAATGCACGCACATATGCACTTACCTCTCCCACAAAATCATCCCCTCTTTCCCCCCTCCCCCCTCCCCCCTGCTCTGGGCCAACCCAGAAAAGTTGGGGCACTCTGCTATAGAGGAAGGAGTGCAGGGGCCTCCAGCTCTGTGCTTTAGAATTCAGAAGGAGTGGGAGGAATCCCAGTCTACATATTGTTGCATGCAAATTTATGTCTATTCTTTTCCATAAGCATTCTTCCAGCTGTCAGTGCAACATCCTGTGAAGAAGTAACATTCCTCTGTGGGAATAAGACAGATTTGTTACTTTTTCACTCATCTTGCAATAACTCATTTTGTGATTATTTTTGTGTTTCATGCCAAAACAGTTGAACTACAAATATATCAGCAATTGCTTATAATGTCCATAATAAGAGAAAATCAAGAATTGAATGGTTTGCCTCTATTTAATATTGTTGCAAGAAGGATAGTGTTAATTTTAAAATAAAGTAGATTATTTGATATTTTCATATTTGGGACATGAAAATGTATATTTTGAGTGTGTGTACATATTTTTATGTTAATTTTTAAATGATTTTTCATTTTTTGGTACCACCTGTTAGTTTTATGTTCAAATCTGGCTTTATGTGAAACTCATGTAAAGAAATGGTACAAACTTCTTTTTGGAGTGGTGTATGTTTGACATTGCCTTCTGTTTCTTTCCATGGAGGTTCTCCGGTTTATCTTCAATAAGCTGCTTATTTAATTTGCCATTTCTCCCTCAATCACTTGCACAATATTTTAGGAGAGAACACAATTCAGAAGTGATTGCTTTTTGGCTAATATCCCTATATAACGTGAGACAGAGGTCAGCATTTAGAACTACAATTTTGCTTTCTGATTGATGACAGAAAATAAGGCATTTTTTAAACTCAAAAAAGAAGAGCATCATCCTCCAACAGAAACAGAAGCATCCTGTAACTCAAAACCAGCCCATGAGAACAGGGGGCAGGAACCAGAGGCTGAACCTGAGGAGGAGACTGATGGAAACAACATGTCATCCATTATTTATGAGATTCCAAAGGAGCCTGAAAAGTGAGTGAGCAGCAGCAGATTTCTACATTTGGGGAAGCAACTGGGTGCTACTTCTTGGAACAATAAGAAATGTTTATTATGTGTTTCATAGAGTATTGTGAATATAGTTTGTCCAATTTTTGAAGATTCTGGTTACTTTTCCACAATTGCTGCCAAGTGAGTTACAATTGCTTAAATGGTAAATATTGGTAGCCCTGAACATATTTCGCTGATCAGTTGCACCTGTAAAAGGGACCAAGGGGAAATACAGAAAATTATACATCCATTCAGATTAATATTTATGACAGGCATATTGTAATACTAATTATGCAAAAATAAATAGGCCTATGGAGAGCAAACATTGCTGAAGAAGAATCAGCATGGTTTGGCAAATCTAGATTTTCTATCGACATCCCCCCCCCCCCCCCCCCCCCCCCCCCCGGAGGCTGGTCAGTGTAAGAAAAAATACTGGAATAGTTGGGTCTTAGTCTGGGTCCAGCATGATGTTTGTGATAATCTAAACCAGAGAAATGCAGATTAATTTTTGTTGGAACAAAGTTCAGTAAATGGTAGGTTCGTTTACAAAACATTTGGCAGAATTTAGTGCTAGTTCCTGGAAATCTATCTTAGACTTTCAGAAAGGAATGTCTCAAATTTTATTTTTTTTCAGGCTTCTCTCCAGCCCTGAAACTGGTATTCATAAAATTCTCTACAATCTCTGTTTATTGTGATGCAGTGGTGAATCTCTTTTTACACTTTGTTTTTTTTTAGAGCACAATACAATAGTAGAATCGTTTTGTGACATTGAAGTAGATTTATGGACAATGTATAGCAGTTTTCCTTTGAATAATTTTTATTCTTCTCTTAGGAGGCGGCGGAGCAAAAGAGGTCGTGTCATAGATGCAGATGGTATGTTGGAGATGTTCCACTGTCCTTATGAAGGATGCACCCAAGTCTATGTAGCACTTAGTAGCTTCCAGGTATAGTTCCTTTGACCTGATAGATTAATTAAATTTATGGTGGTAGAGCAAAAGAGCTTCTGACCTTAATTTGGCTACTAAATTATATTCTATGCTGAGGACTCAGACAAAATGTCAGAAGTAATAGAGCTGCTATTTTTGTAGTGGATCTAATAACCATTGATATGTTCAAGCAGAATTTAGACAGCCTTCTCTAGGGAAGCTTTACTTTGGATTCCTGCATGAAACATTTGGTTAGACTTCAGGGCCTAAATGCCCTAATTAAACCCTAATAATTTTTAATGCAACCAAGGGCATATTACACATCATTTGGTCCATGTTTGACTTATAAAGACAAATATATTGAAGGACAGGTAGTAATTTAATTACTATAGATTTGTGTGTTTGTGAAGAAGTAAAACTTTCCAATTTGTACACTAGAGCAAGGGTTCCCAACCCATGGTCTGTGGACCGGCATTGGGCCACGGCATGCCAGAAACTGGTCTGTGCAAACAAGTGAAGCCCCATTTGTGGGATTCAGGCAGCGTGCGAAACTTTGGCCCTTCCGGTCCACAGAAAAACCTCTCTCCACAGAATCGGTTCCTGGTACCCAAAAGATTGGGGGCCACTGCTCTAGAGGAACAATGTTCTTCTCATTTTTTTCTGTCCTCAGAATCATGTTAATCTTGTTCATCGGAAAGGAAAAACGAAGGTGTGCTCACACCCAGGTTGTGGCAAAAAGTTTTACCTATCTAATCATCTCCGAAGACACATGATAATCCATTCAGGTATATTGTCACCTCTAAGTTTTGCTATTTATGATATGTCTTCATCACTTCGGAGGTACGGTGTTTCCCCGAAAACAAGACCTAACCTGATTTTAAGTGTGCCTAATATAAGCCCTGCCCAAAAAATAAGTCCTAGTGAAGATCGTCATCAGTGGGTGGAGGGGGCAGCACCGGAGGCTGTGAGGGCGCGGGGCCCGACAGTGTCCAGCAGCTTGCACAGCGCAGGTGAGTTGCGTACCTATTCAAGCAGCAGGCAGAGGCGGATGGAAGGCAGGCAATCCGGACAGACTGTGGGAAAGCTGAGAGTCAGTGGGCCAGAGTAGACTGGCAGCCACGGGAAGATGGGGGGGGGGGGAAGGCAGGCAATCTCGACACTCCCTGCAGGCCGCAGGCAAGCCAATAGACACGAAGATGAGCCACCTGCGGCTGGCTGTCCATTTTGTCCCACCGTCTCTTGGTTTGCCTGCAGCCTGTGTGGCGCGGCCGGATTGCATGCCTTACCCCCATGCCTCTACCTCCGTCTGCTGCCAGTGCCATTGCATGAAGATGAGCCTCCTGCAGCCGCCCGGCCGCTCTGGCCCACTGACTGTCGGGTTTCCTGTGGCCCATGCAGTGCATCTGGATTTAAATGCCTCTCCCACCCCCCCTCCAGGCTGCTGCTTGGACACGTAATTAACTCACTGGTGCTATGCAGGCTGCGCAGCCCCAGAGTGCGCCGACCAAGGGAGCCAGCGGGGTGCAGCTGCGCCGGTCAATGTTGCCCCCCGCGTGCGAGCTGCCTTTGTGCGTGCCAAGGGTGGGGTGCCCAGCCAGGCTGATAACTCTGAAATCATGTTTCCCTGAAAATAAGCCCTATTCTTATTTTGGAGCCCCCAAAAAATATAAGACCGAGTCTTATTGTCGGGGAAACATGGTATTTTAGTATATGGTGGTTCTGATGGAATTGTTAACCTTGCACATCAATGCATACCAACTGTTTTGAATAGAGAGGTCCAAAAACGATATCATTTTCTTACAGTGGAAAAGGAAAGTTGCTCCTCCTATTTACTTCAATAGGCAAGAGTAAAAGATGTGCAACAATCTCTAGAGGGGTTTCCCCACTGAGAAATCTGTGGCTTTCTAGTCTAAGTAAAGATTGTTCCTCTTTTACTGTTTTTTCTTCAAGGTGGAGGAACATGGTGACAAGCGCTGCAATTAAAGATTTTGCAAGATGCCCATTTTCTCTCAGTTTTCATTGGGCACTTGAATAATAGTTGGCCAAGATAGTACATTTTCTGTGGCAGTCGGCATAAGGGTCCTAATTTCCATTTTTTCATGCTTCACATTTTCTATTTCTTATAATTTTATCTTGGTGTTTTCACTGATTAAAGACCCATTAGCTTTTCCTAGAACTGATTGGAAATGCTTTTAATTTTTCCCACAAGGGAAATTATTAATGGCATTGCTAGGTCCACTAAAAAGGATCTTTTTGAGGGGTCAGCAACTGGGCTGCATTTATGGCCATTTGTGGTGTCCTGTGGAATGTGACTGTATTTTATGCCTTTTTGTGGAAAACTAGCATTTATTTCCATTATTATTATTTTTTTGCAAAACTGCCTGTAGCAAACTGTTGGTTCATTTAATGACCGCGGTGTTCACTTAATGATTGTGGATTCATTTAGAGACTATGATGATTCACTGAACAACCACTGAAAAAAAAGATAATATCAGGTCCATCACATGAGTGGCCCAATTTACAACTGTCTTGAGTTTTGACCATGATGGGCAGCCTTTATTATAGTTGTAATTCAAGGACTACCTGTACAACAATACAGCTGTCTGTCCAGTCTAGCAAGCTTTTTTGCATATGCTAAAATGCTAAAAATGCTGTAACTTTCAGAGCTGACATATGCTGTGTGCACAATTATTAGGCAAATGAGTATTTTGACCATATCATTTTTATGCATGTTTTCCACTTCCAAGCTGTATAAACTTGAATGCTTATTGGATAGAAGCATATCAGGTGAGATGTAACGTAATACTTGTGTAATGAGGGAGGGTGTGGCCTAAGGAAGATCAACACCCTATATCCGTGATGGCAAACCTATGGCACGCATGCCAGAAGTGATACACACAGCCCTTTCTGCCTGAACACGCACCGTTGCCGCAGGTCAGATCTCTGTTGTGACTCCGACTCCCGAGCCTGTCTTATCAGAGGGAGAAGACTCCGAAAGTGAAGGAGAGGAGTTGGCAAGTCCTCCCTCTCCAGGACCCTCCTCTCTGGCAATGCCTCAGGTGTCCTCCGAAGGCCAAGAGATAGGCCAGGGGCCAGGCACTTCGGAACAGCCGCAGTTGGACAGCGATGGAGATGAGTCTTGGCTGGATCCCCGACAGCGTCGCAGAGATAAGCGCGCGCAGCAGAGGAAGAGGCGTGCCAGAGATTAAGCTGAGTCACTGGACCACACCCCACAGGGGATAAAAGAGGGTGTGGTGGCCAGTCAAGCCTTGTGACGAACAAAACTGAAAGCTAGCAAGTCATTTCTGGAACTTTGTTATATGCTCTGCTTGGATTGATTTTTGGACTGGACTTGACTATTCTTTGGCTTTTGTGGATTTACTTTGATGTTTCGGACGGAGGAGAAAAACCTCCCTTTGTAAGTATAAACTTTTGGCAAGCAGCCACTGAGTTGCTGCTAATTCTGTTATCAAAGGAAATTCTTGTCTGCTGGTTTATTTTAACTCTTGGTTGACTGCTGGTGTGCGTGTGTGAGATGGGGACAAAACAATCTCCATGGTGTTTCATGAGCTTTTGTTTCCCTACAAATGATAAAACAAAGCTCACAAAAGAAAAAGATCTTACCTCTTGCCACAGTGCTGGTGTTGGGATGCTCTGCCTCCCGCCAGCCAGCTGGTCTTCGGGTCTCTGCTGTGCATGCACACATGTCCACACATGCATGCATGTTCGCGCATGTTTCACATGTGCACGCACCTTTCAGTTCAGGCTTGCGCGTGCAGTTTGGACACTCACTGTCTAAAACGTTCGCCATCACTGCCCTATATCAAGGTGTGCATAATTATTAGGCAGAGTCTTTTCCTCAGGCAAAATGGGCCAAAAAAGAGATTTAACTGACTGAAAAGTCAAAAATTGTAAAATGTCTTTCAGAGGGATGCAGCACTCTTGAAATTGCTAAGATATTGGGGCGTGATCACAGAACCATCAAACATTTTGTTGCAAATAGTCAACAGGGTTGCAAGAAACATGTTGAGAACAGAAGACGCACATTAACCACCATAGATTTGAGAAGAATCTTGATACTACAGTGGTTTAAAGCACCCTGTTATTAACACAGCTGCCTGCAATTTACTGCTGGTTCGAATCTCTCCAAGGCTCAAGGTTGACTCAGCCTTCCATCCTTTCTAAGGTAGGTTAAATGAGGACCCAGTTTGTGGGGGCAATAAGCTGACTTTGTATAAATATACAAAAGTATGAAGGCTATTGCTTAACGCATTGTAAGCCGCCCTGAGTCTCCGGAGAAGGGCGGCATATAAATCAAATTAAAAAAAAAAAAAAAAAAGAGTCAAACGTGAAGCTACCAGGAAGCCATTATCCTCCAGTGCTGTCATATTCCAGAACTGCAACCTACCTGGAGTGCCCAGAAATACAAGGTGTTCAGTGCTCAGAGACATGGCCAAGGTAAGGAAGGCTGAAACCTGACCACCACTGAACAAGAGACATAAGTTAAAGTGGCAAGACTGGGCCAAGAAATATCTGAAGACAGATTTTTCAAAGGTTTTATGGACTGATGAGAGTGACTCTTGACGGACCTAAACCCTATTGAGCACTTCTTAAATGGGAGATTTATGGTGAAGGAAAACAGTACACCTCTTTGAACAGTATCTGGGAGGTTGTGGTTGCTGCTGCACAAAAAGTTGGTCATCAACAGATAAAACTGACAGACTCCATGAATGAAAGTTTTATGACTGTTATTGAAAAGAAGAGTGGCTATATTGGTCACCGATATTTATTTTGAAATGTCAGAAATGTTTATTTGTAAATTTTGAGTAGTTTATTATTCTCACTTTAACAGATGGAAATAAATGAGTGAGTGAGATGGGAAATTTTTCATTTTTATTTAGTTGCATAATAATTCTGCACACTAATAGTTGTCCAATAATTGTGCACATGTAGATATTCTCCTAAGAAAGCCAAAACTTCGCTTTTACTTTCTTAACTATTCAGGTTTGATGTTTATTAATATTTTGGATTGACCGAGAGCACTATAATTGTTCAATAATAAAATTAACCCTTAGAAATACAACTTGCCTAATAATTGTGCACACAGTGTATGTCTTAATTAACTATTATATGGCCATTTTGTAGTCCTTACATTTTTAAAAAAATAATTCAGTCCCATAATAATATATCTGTTCCTCTCTTGCTTCTACCCTTGTCCAGTCATAAGTGTAGATTATTCTAAATGAGGCATAGAATAGGTTGGAACATTTGCAGAGGAATAAAGATTTAATCTTTTATAACTACATGTTGATTTATTTTCAGAAAATCAGTTATACATAGCAGAGATTTTTCATAGCCATATCAAAGCAGGGGTGGGTTCTACTTACCTTTACTACCGGTTTGCAGCGGGGCCATGCACATGTGCTTGCTTTGCTCGCACACACATATGCTCTTCTGCGCATGCGCAGAAGCGTTTTGATGAAGTCGGGGTCGGTGGGTGGAGTCTCCTGCCAGTTTTACTACCGGTTCTATAGAACCGGTGCAAACCGGGAGCAACCCACCACTGTATCAAAGTAAATCTAGTCTTCTGTTTCCCTTGTAAGAAACATTATTGATTAATGCTCTAGACCAGTGGTTCTCAACCTTCCTAATGCCGCGACCCTTTAATATAGTTCCTCATGTTGTGGTGACCCCCAACCATAAAATTATTCTTAAAACAGTTGAAAATACGTGTTTTCCTATGGTCTTAGGTGACCCCTGTGAAAGGGTCATTCGACCCCCAAAGGGGTTGTGGCCCACAGGTTGAGAACCACTGCTCTAGAACATCACAGCCCATTCTATAAACAGCTCAGCTATCCAGCAACTTGAGCTTCTTTTTGTTCCAGAGGTTCCTCTCAGCAATACATATAAGGCCACTAGATGGATTTCTGCATCTTCTTTCATTAAAGGAAGTTTCTAAAAATCTTGCAGAATTCTATCTCCCATCTGCTTCTCCACTATAGGAAAATGAAGTATGGACTTAAAGGCTCTCTTTCTACAGTGGATGGAAGAGATAATAGCTTTGCCACTCAGAAGGGAAGAGGTACTCTCTATCAGTGTAGGTATTATTATTACAGTCGCTTTTACTCTTGCCTATTGGAGCAAGTGGAAACAGCAAAACAATTTTCAAGATTCCCTCAATTAAGTGTAGAAAAGGAAATGTCATTCCCATCCATTGTTCTGCATTTTGTTGATTCCTAGATGTTATATAGAACCAAACTATTCTGACTTTTCTTTTGGGAGTAATGTACAAGTAGGAAAAAAATCATGAAACATTGTTTCTATAGAGGACAACTGCAGCAAAACTACCCTGTTTCCCCGAAAATAAGACATCCCCTGATAATAAGCCCAATCGGGCTTTTGAACGTGTGCACTAAAATAAGCCTCCCCCCGAAAATATTTAAACACAGAGATGGAAATTAGGTAAAAGGGCAAGAGGAGCCCCATCTTGCTCCACATGCCCCAAAATAATAAGGCCTCCCCGAAAATAAGGCCAAGTGCTTATTTCGGGGTTCAAAAAAATATTAAGACAGAGTCTTATTTTCAGGAAAACATGGTATTTGCTAAAAAATGGAAAGGCATAACACTACCCACAATGAAGGAATGGTTGGTGAAGATGATAAAATTTTCTGAGATGGTTAAATTAATTTCTCTGACTTGAGAAAAAACTATCTACATTTATGGTTGACTGGAAATCCTTCATAGATTTTTTGCACAAAACAAAGTGCATTTATGATTAGTGGTTTTGCAATTAGAAAAAAATCCTGGATAATAGAAAAGAGAGAGATTTTTTTATAATCATAGTATTGTAATAATTTCATTGACTCTGGATGGGTTGGTAGTCCTGGGGCTGGTGCCGATTTTGGGGATTGTCCTAGCCTCGTGGCTCCAGCTTGAGCAGGTGGTAGCCATGGCTAGAGGGGCCTTTGCACAGATTCATCTGGTATGCTGATTGCAGCCTTTCCTGGACTGGGAGACCTTCCTTATTGTCATTCATGCCTTGGTCACTGTTTAGATTACTGCAGTGTGGATTATATAAGGCTGCTTTTGAAGACCACCTGGAAGCTATAACTATTCCAGAATGAGGTGTTATACTCCGTGAAGGGTGCCCCTAGGTTTGCCCTAGAGTTCTGGGTGCAATTCAAGGTGCTGATTAACTTCTTTAAAAGCCTCTCTGGCACAGGGCCAGGTAATCTTTATTACTGATACTGTTTTAAACCTTGATTGGGAGCCACTCAGAATTTGGAATAAACGTGGGCACTTACATAAATGTTTTAGATAAATAAATAAATCATAGTAACAGATTATTCTTTCTATTTGCTCTTTTACTTTTTACTTTTGTGCTTTTACTCTATTAATTTGTGTTTTTATTCTCTATGAAACTTTTAATTAAACGTTTATTAAAATCTAGTTTTCTTTGAATATTGAATTTGAGGACCAATGGGATTGGCATTCTCTTTTTATTATTTCCTTCCTCTAAGTTTAAAGCAATATTATATTCCTTTAAGTGGTGCATGGTGTCTTAAGGTTTAATTTGATTAAATTAATGGCAGGGCCCATTCAAGCAAGTTATTTCAGGAGATGTCTCTTCTTTGGGACAGAGAATGTCCCTATGTTAGCTATTGATGGGTTTTCCTGTTCCTTTTTTTATTCCTATATCTTCCCAGGGGTCCGGGAATTTACCTGTGAGACTTGTGGAAAATCCTTCAAGCGGAAGAATCATCTGGAGGTCCATCGTCGAACACATACTGGAGAGACCCCTCTCCAGTGAGTGACCTGGGGCATGACAAGAAAGTCTGGGCTGAGCCACCCTCCAGCATGAGAGCAACTGGGCGAGGTCTTTGGAGCCTGCTTGCTTTGCCTTTTTTGTGCAAGTTGGCCAGGGCTCAGTCTGGCTGATCATATCTAACCATTTTTTAAAGTGGAAACTCTGAATGAGCTACTTAGTAATCATTGTTAGTATATTTGATATACTTGAGACTAAAGAACTGTACTAATTGTTTTTGTAATTATGCAATTTTTAACTACAATTATACTGAGAAAAGCTACTTTCAGTATGACAGGAAAAGTGGGTAAATTGAAATACATACTCTGCCCGATTATGGTAGCAGATACTGAATAGATAGCAACAGCTGTTGGTAGTTGTTGGGGCTGGGGATGCTTTCCTGGTTTTTAGTCTGGAGTATAATGGAATGACGACTTTCTCTCCACAGGTGTGAGATTTGTGGCTATCAGTGTCGTCAGAGGTCTTCTCTCAACTGGCATATGAAGAAGCATACTTCAGAAGTCCAATATAACTTTACTTGCGAGAACTGTGGCAAACGTTTTGAGAAGCTGGACAGTGTCAAGTTCCACAAACTAAAGAGCCACCCAGACCATAAGACTGCCTGACCCTGATCCTGAATTACTTTAATTATTGTTGCTCCAAATACCTAAACCAGTTGAGGGCATGTCTTACATAGTCACAACTGAAGACATAGTGTGTGCTACCCCCAGCACAAGGGTCTATTAGGTTAGGATGAAGACTTTTAAGACCAGATGATGAATGACAAAAACTTCTGATATGCAAGTGTGCTCGGTGTTCTGATAGCATAAAGTTAAAACATCTGACTGGAGATTATGGTGCTAAATTGTCCTGTTTCTCAAGGGGAAAAGAACAGCGAAGCAACAGCCAAGAATAATCTTATCCAATTAAAGTATCAGTACTATGCTATCCGCTGGCAGCACCGTCTACATTTTAACCACCTGATACTTGATCTGAAGGAGGAGTACAGTATGAAAGGTCTAGTTGCATATCATTTAACTATGGAGAGACTACTTCCAATGTATAGCTGCAGGTCTAGTTCAAGTGAATGTTGTATATCTATTGACAACTGAAAGAAAATTATTGGCTGATATGCATTAATTCAATTTCCTTGAAATAGTTGGTTGAACATAGTCATATATTGGTCTAAGCATGGTTCTGTTTCAGGAACTATTTTCCCTTCAACATTCAGGGCTATTGCATTTGAAGACAATCTAGAGTTGGCATTTGTACCTGTTTTCTTGAAATATTGGTGTTATATAAAGCACAGATTCTGATACTGGGTAGACTTGGATTCCAGCTCTAAGTTGCTTTATTATTCCGGTTATCTGTGGCCATCCTCTATAGTTTGCTATATTCATAGCCTTGTTTGCAAATAAGGAATTTCTAAAATTTAATGCCATCAGTGTATTTTTTATTATACTATTAAGAAACACTGCTTTTGACTTTAAAATGCCATTTAATCCTTAGGACTAAGTTAAAAATATTAAATGTGAAAATTGACAGATTTTTTTTCTATAGCTGAAATTGACATAGCTCTGTGAGAGCACTCATAATTGGGTGTATGCCATTTCTTCACCACGACCACCCCCCAAAAAACTCCTCTTTTTGAAGAACCTGTTTATATGGAATTGTCAGCAGACAAAATAGCTTAGTTGGGTCAAATTTTGTGGGGTTTGTCATTCTGGGATGGAGGGACAGGAAGAGCTCTTTTTTATTAGTTTAGATAGTTCTACTTTTGGAGATTATTTTGTGTGGCTGTTCTTGCCGTGTTCCTCAAAGATGTACAAGCCATTAGTGAACAGAATTTAAAACTTGCCGAACTTTTGCTTCCTGTTTTCTGAACTTGCAGGTGCTAAAATGGACAGACCTTCCAAATGCTGCATTCCAGCTCCCCATATGTCTTAGTAATCATTGTTGCCCTTGGTAAAGGATCAAAGTAATCTGGAGGCAGCATATATCTTATCATTTTGAGAGGGAAGCTGGCTGAATGAAATTAGCTTGTCGTCTTGCACGTTTGTTTCCTTAATCCAGGCAAAGATCACTCTTAAAATCCATATAGATTCAGATCAGAGTGGAAAGGCAAATCTGGAGAGATTCTTAAAGGAGCACAATAATGTTCACAGGCAAATCAAAGACCAAGGAGTGATGAGCACACTATGCTTCTGAAGAGGCCAGCCATAGCTGCCGGTGAAACATCAGGTCAGCAGAAAACTAGATCACGGCCACAGAGCCTGAAAGCTCATCACTCCTTGATTAATACTAGCAATAAAAGCTTGTCACCAGTAAAATGGGACCGTTATTTTTATAGAATACTTGATCAGCATTGGAATACCCAATAGGAAAATAATTATCATATCCTTAAAACAGATAAGAAGGAGACTCAATGGAATTTTGTGATTTTGAACTCTCTGTCAAGGTTCCAACTGATGAATCCAACCAAGCCAGCAAGTCAAGATAATCTTTAAGCATAACTTTATTGAGTACATGATTTCGGCATGCATGAAGCAAAACCAACTCTAACTAGTTCCCACGGATTTCAGCTAATTAAAGAATGAATTCTTTCATTCCCTCCTATGACCAGATCACATTGTCCAATTAGGTGTTCTGGTGTGCGTATGGCAACTCCTTCAAGCTATTGCCAAACATCTGTTGAAATGACCTTGGTTTCCACGGGATGATTTCTCATCTGGACTAACATTCCAAACCTTCCCCCCACCCCGAATAGTCTGTGGCAAGCTGAGAAACAAAAAGATGGCTGTGACAGCAGTGCAAGGTTCAAAGTTGACAGTCAGACACCCCCCCCGCCCCCAGAAAATAAGCACCTCGAAAATAAATACACATTTATTTCAGGAGTGCCTTGGCCTCTAAGAAGGGCCCATTGCCTTCTGGGGATATTTCTCATTAAATTACTAATTTTTTATTTCATTTTTTTTTTTTGTAAACAAGTTTTATTAAAATTTTTCTTTCGTCATACATATTTTAGGAACAGAGTGTTGACCGGATCACATCTTATATATCTTAATTTTTATAATCTATTCCAATCTTCCCGCTTTTTCCAAATTCATCCCTTTTATATAATTCTTTATCGCAAATTCATCATTTTTCACCATATCTTGTTATTTCATCTCTTCCCCCAAGTACATTTTACATATTTCCAATTTTGGCCATAATATTCTTTTTCCATATTTCTTTATCTTATCTTAATCTCTTCTTAATACATAATACATAAACAGTATCACTATCTGCCCTTAATTCCTAATTTCTTAAAATATCAATTATTTCTTCATTTACAGTATATATTTTTCAAACTCCCCATCCAACTTTTCAACATTTCAATTTTGTTTCTTAATTTAACTTGTCTTCATAATTAAACCCCATTGCCAGTTCATATTTCATCTGCTATTCTGTTTTGCTATAAGCAATGTCATATTCACTTCTTACATTAAAACCCTTTAACTTATTTGACCCACAATAATATTAAATTTACTAATATATATCTTATTATATATTAGTAAATATATAATATTTATGTAATATTCTTTCCACTATTTTCCCCCTCTAACCATTATCTCTTGGTCTCTCCAAAATTCTACTTCTTAATCATTTCCTCCTTTTATCCCATTCTTTTAACAACTTTTTTTTTGTATTTATTATATCTTTTCTCCTGAATCCTTTTTCTCACTTTTAAATATATTACTGAAGTAATTCTCCCCAAGCTTTCTCCTAATCTCTTTCCACTCTTTTCCCTATGATTGATTCTTTTTGGGGGGATATTCCCCCCCTCCACTCTTTTTTTTACCATTGTTAATCCCAGCGAAATCATCTAACTGCTTTTTGCATTCAATTCCTTTTCCTTCAATATTTTCTTGCTATCAATACCAAGAAATATTTATCAGCTAACAATATTTTTCCTGTTTTGTGTACTCCAGCAAAATTTCTGACTTTTTATTACCCTTTAGTGATTCACACGTTTTAAAACCTCAATTAATTCTTCACACATCCAAGACTCCATATTGTCAATTTTAAAAAATTGTTAAAACTTTTGATATTTAATTAAAATTTTAAAGTCCATTTTAGTCTCTCTTTAATTCCAAATAGTATCCAATTTGAATATTTATTTAATCCACTCCAAGTTAAAGCTTTATTATTTTCCACAACAGTTGAAAGTCGAAACCAAGCAGTTCAGAAAAACAAATACTCCGTAAGAGTTCTCACATTTTCTGAATTATTTTTTATTAATCAAGGTCACAGATGTTATTTTCTCTTCTATCTTCCAACCAAGATTGCAGTTCTCTCTTTCCACCAGCAGATGTCTCTCAAATCCACAATATTCTCAGAGCAACTAAGTATCAAAGCTGTCAAAAATATTTTGAATCCACATAAAAACTACTTTTCCTTGGGTTTCTTTTATTATTTTTTGTTTCTCCAAATCCAATTTTAAATCCAGTTGTGAAATTTTCTTTCTTGGGCTTTGGTATTTTAACCTCCTCTTTGTTCTCCCTCCATTAACTTTCCTAAGTGCCAATTAGTTGCTCATTTCCGCTCCGGGACATCTTTTAAAATTATTTTTAAAAAAAATTTTTACCTGTGAGTTGGCTAATCACTCTCCCGGTACCAGCGCTCTGTTCAGACACTGCTCCTGCACAACAAACTTAGTACGGTTGCCCCAGCTTCAGAGCCGACACCCCTGCCGTTGGTTCGAAGAGCAGCCTCCAACCTTTTGAGGAACTTGCCTGTTCCTCTTGGTCGTCTGAGGCACCTCTCCACCTTCACCATCTCTACAGGATGGTTCCAGTCCAAAGACCCCTTGACAGCGGTTTGTCCGGCTGGATTTTTGCAGAGCTTGTCGGAGCCCGCTATTTTTCCAGCCGGTCTCACCGTGGCACTTCAGTTCCTCCTCTGAAATTACTAATCTATCTGCCCTCATGTTCTGCACTTTTACCCATCTGGTTTCTGACATTGGGTACCTCTTCCACTGGACTATGTATTGGAGTTTTTCTTTGTATAGTCTGGAATCCAGAATCCATTTAACTTCAGTGTTCCTCCCCTCTCCCCACTATGATCGGACCTGGGGTAATCTTAGCCACTGGTCTTGGTTCAGACCCTACCACTGGCTTATGCAGACTGCAGTGGAACACAAGGTGCAGTTTTCCTAATAGTAGTAACTACTGTGACTGGGTTTATGATCTTTACTATGGGCAAAGGTCCTATATACTTTGGACCCAGCTTGTTGCAAGGTAGTTACAACTTAAGATACTTTGTAGACAAATATACTTTCTCCCCTATGTGGAATGGTTTCTACATTGACTGCTCCTTGTCTGCCTGAATCTTCTGACTTCTGGTTACTTTAGCTGGTGTTTGCTTACATTTCCCCAGGCATTTGGAGGGAACCCACTCACTCATTTGAATTTACTGGGAAAGGGGGCTCCCTAAGGTACTCTGGCATAGGCAAGAAATCCACCCCGTAGCTACTTTAAAAGGGGTGAGTCCCATACTGCTACGCACCGTTATTATAGGCAACCTCTGCAAACAGCAGGTCTGCCCAGTTAGGTTGCTGATAGTTGGCATAGCAATGCAGGTTTTGTTTTATCATGGTGTTCGCTCGTGCAACACTTCATCCTGTTCGTACTCTGATGAAACACCGAGCTAATCCCTTGGGAGGATTATATCAGTTTTATGAATTCCCTCCAGAACTTAGCAGTGAATTAGACCACCCAGTCCGAGATGATTCACTTTGGTGCCCCGTGCAATCGGTAGATATGTTGAAACATATTAGCCAGTCTCTGAGTGGATGGGAGGCTCAAGCATGCGATGAAGTGAGATTGCTTGGAAAATAAGTATTACTGTCCAAATCACAGTATTTCCCCTCCTCTGGGAGTTCTATGGACTATGAAGTCCATTGTGATCTCTTCCCAAGGCTGGGTTGGCTCTGCCACTTGTTTCAGCAAGCCTGGACTCTTCCCTGGTCTGTTTTTCATTGCTGTACACACTGCACAACTTTTCACATAGATCTCTATGTCCTTCATCCCTGGTCACCAGAACTTTCTCTTAAACCAAATGCAAAGTTTTCAAGAACCTGAAATGGCCAGCTTGCTTGGTATCGTGGCTCTGTTGCAGGACTTGGACTTGTAGGCTTTGGGGAACATGCAGCTTGTACCCCTTCCATGCTAGCCCTCTTGATGTTATATTCCCATGGGCTCCAAACCATTTATTAGACTAACTCCTTTTTCATCTGTTGAGTCAGCTCACTGCTGGAGTCTGGAAACTTCTTCGCCTGTTGCCTTGTGGTCGCTTGTGCTGCCCGCTGCTTTGGAGGCAAGATTACATTTACAACTTCTCGATTACTTCTCGATTACTTTTGTACTGCACATGCAGGATAGAGTATCAGCTAGTA